ACGTGGGCCAGACAGTTAGAGTCTACCCAGAGAAAACAGAAGCAGGGAGAGAATGAAAACTCGAGGCAGTCAGCTAGTCGTTCCACGAGCCTTTATAGTCGTTTCTTCATCGGCATACTCGTCTCACACACATGTAAAAGAGCGAGTACAAGACAAAAACAAAACACTCTGGTTCGTCACAAACAAAGGGATGAACACGTTAATGCAGTACACAGCAGTAGAGCGACCATTTCTCTTCACCTTTGACTCTCTCTGTGCGTGCGCGCTCACAACACAATGCGTGCATACGTACCGTAACAGCATACAACAACAGAAGTTCTCTTAAAGGCACATTGACATTTGTGGCAGGAACAGTATTTAAGTGGCCGTTACAGTATATTGAAGTCAGTCAGTGCAGTGTATAGAAAATAACCAACTGTTAGTAATTTTTACTGTTATTTTCTGATTTTAAAGGCTCATGGTGAGACACTTCATACACAAGAAGGGCGTGCAAGCTGGCCTCCTAATACGAAGACTACGATGGTGCACTGCAGGACACCTTTCTCCTTTTAAATGTTCAAGAAAAAAAGGACTGTAATGGACATGCATGTGTGTTTTTTTCAAGCTTGTCTCAGTGGTTGTTTCCCATGAGGTATGAGTTTTCAGTTTTGTATGAGTTTCTTGGCAGTTTTTTGCTACTTTTGTGCCCTTGTTGTATACATATACTGGCATTCACACATATCATATAGCATGCACAGGCAGATTCTGTACTGTTCTTAATATTAAAAACTTATAAACACTGCAAGAAAAAATAAAATGTAAATGTTTCAAACAAATGTTGTAGTATATATTTTTTATCTGTATCTAAAATAAAGTTTACATTATCATAACTAGAAAATGTATGTAAAAACTTTTTTGAATTTAAGTTGAAACAACAAATACTGTAAAGTCAAATGAACTTCAATAAGCAATTCAGCACTAGGCAAGATTCAAATAAGTGAGTTGAAATGTCTTGCACTTTTAAGTTGATTTAACTTCAAATTTTAAGGCAGCCACAAAACTTACTTTTTTTAAGTTGAAACGGGTGAATTTTTTTTTCAGTGTAGCTTTAAGAAATGTGATAACTTGCTTGTATAATTGAGTAAGTAAGTAGGAGTAAATTTAATGAATTCTCAGCACTTAAGACTAAAATGGCACTTTGAGAAGCTTGATAAATACGGGCCCTGGTTTGCTTGTAGTTGGTGATGATTATTAAAAATGTTTCAAATTATTGTTAACAACTAAATGAAACTGATTTGTATATTCAGTCAACATTTATGTTCTTTCATTCACATATTACACATTTTCATAGTGTACAACATTTACATAAATTAAGAGTATCATAAACTTTCAATATAGTCAAATATGCTTATTTAGGAGGACAATGATATTAAACTCACCCGTCACTGAGAGAGAAACATCAGAGCTTGATTGTGATGAGACTGATCTTCCATCTATGTGTCCTTTACATGTGTACCGACCCGCATCAGATGTTTTAGATCGTTCAATAGTGAGAGTGTTTCCTTTTACAGTGTGATGCTCAGACACTTTAGTGCTGCCTTTTTCAAACAATCACTTTTTTTTTTGTTATTCAAAACATTGAATGCGTTTAATTAATTTGTGTATATTGAAGTCTGTCAGTGTGTATTGTATATAGAATAACCAACTGTTAGTAATTTTTACTGTTATTTTCTGATTTTAAAGGCTCATGGTGAGACACTTCATACACACAAGAAGAGCATGCAAGCTGGCCTCCTAATACAAAGACTACGATGGTGCACTGCAGGACACCTTTCTCCTTTTAAATGTTCAAGAAAAAAAGGACTGTAATGGACATGCATGTGTGTTTTTTTCAAGCTTGTCTCAGTGGTTGTTTCCCATGAGGTATGAGTTTTCAGTTTTGTATGAGTTTCTTGGCAGTTTTTTGCTACTTTTGTGCCCTTGTTGTATACATATACTGGCATTCACACATATCATATAGCATGCACAGGCAGATTCTGTACTGTTCTTAATATTAAAAACTTATAAACACTGCAAGAAAAAATAAAATGTAAATGTTTCAAACAAATGTTGTAGTATATATTTTTTATCTGTATCTAAAATAAAGTTTACATTATCATAACTAGAAAATGTATGTAAAAACTTTTTTGAATTTAAGTTGAAACAACAAATACTGTAAAGTCAAATGAACTTCAATAAGCAATTCAGCACTAGGCAAGATTCAAATAAGTGAGTTGAAATGTCTTGCACTTTTAAGTTGATTTAACTTCAAATTTTAAGGCAGCCACAAAACTTACTTTTTTTAAGTTGAAACGGGTGAATTTTTTTTACAGTGTAGCTTTAAGAAATGTGGTAACTTGCTTGTATACTGTCCTTTACATGTGTACCGACCCGCATCAGATGTTTTAGATCGTTCAATAATGAGAGTGTTTACAGTGTTATGCTCAGACAGTTTAGTGCTGTCTTTATACCACTCATATCTCCAGTTACTGTGATCAGAGTTTATCTCACACTTCAGACTCACTCTCTCTCCAGTGAATACAGGACTGTTTGGAGTCACAGTCAGTGAAGATGTGGGTAAATCTGTGAAGACAAAAACATAAACAGCTCTTTCAGTGGAAAGAATTACTTTGTAAATGTGTTATAAAACTATATAGTTTATACATTAATTAATTGAATTTCATAATAATGTTTGTGTTTTATTTATGTATTGTGATAAGTTTTCTCATCTCAGTTTATTTGAGGAGGCTCTGGCTCCGTCATGAAGCACCTCAGGATTCTCAATAACAGCCTCTGTGTGTGTTGCTTCAAGAGAGCGACCATACGTCTCTGTTATTAATTTATTTCTTTTTTTTTATTCATGTATAATCATAATAATTTATCATTTCATTATTAAATTTAATCAATTATTCATTTTTATTATTTTACTTACTTTACCTGCTTTTGCAATGCTTGCTATTGTTGTTTAATCTTATGATTGTTTGGTTTCAAAACATATTTGCCTCCGTGAGAAAGAGGGTTTATCTCACACTTCAGACTCACTCTCTCTACAGTGAATACAGGACTGTTTGGAGTCACAGTCAGTGTAGATGTGGGTAAAGCTGTGAAGACAAAAACATAAACAGCTCTTTCAGTGGAAAGAATTACTTTGTAAATGTGTTATAAAACTATATAGTTTATACATTAATTAATTGAATTTCATAATAATGTTTGTGTTTTATTTATGTATTGTGATAAGTTTTCTCATCTCAGTTTATTTGAGGAGGCTCTGGCTCCGTCATGAAGCACCTCAGGATTCTCAATAACAGCCTCTGTGTGTGTTGCTTCAAGAGAGCGACCATACGTCTCTGTTATTAATTTATTTCTTTTTTTTTATTCATGTATAATCATAATAATTTATCATTTCATTATTAAATTTAATCAATTATTCATTTTTATTATTTTACTTACTTTACCTGCTTTTGCAATGCTTGCTATTGTTGTTTAATTTTATGATTGTTTGGTTTCAAAACATATTTGCCTCCGTGAGAAAGAGAACATCTATATTTCAAGGTTTTTAACGTCACAGATTGATGTTGTTTAAAACAGTTCTGTCTCAGGGTCTGGTAAAGTGACTGGATGGAGATCCATTCTAACAGTCTCATGCTCAGACAAACACCTAAATGTGGTGTTAGATCAGGAATGGACTTGAATAAGAGCCTGATGCAGAGAGCAATAGAGACCCCAGAACAGAAATATTCATGATTCTGCTTAGTTAAAAATACAGAATTATATTAGACCCATATGATTTCACTCTGTCCCTCACTACATACATTTAAAATGTTTTAATTACTGAATTTGATGAAGTAATGTATTTTTTAATTATGTAATACAATTAATAAACAAATAATCTTGAATGTGTGACCTTCTGGATTCACCACATTTGATGTGCCATTACCATATTTCATGCTAAATTAAATCTGTCTAAATTTTGGTTGAACTATAGACGATACATACTGTCACATTTTTTGTATTGCGATATAAAATGACACAACATGTCGTTCCCCCAGAACGTATTAAAGATTGAGACGTTCACTGGAAAGTCTTTAATGTCACAATGTGCATGACATTAAATGAGAAACTCCACAAAAAAAATTTGCAACACACTCAAGATGTGAGTCTGTAGAACAGAGTGACTGAGTCTCAATGTATGACTTTGTAAGGGTTATTGTTCTGTTTAAATTTAGTTTTCAGTGTTCTGTTCCTGTTTCCTTTCTATCATCATGCCCCTCATTACAATCACCCACACATGACAGACGTCATTTAGTTGTTTCTGTTCGTGCAGCAGGTTCACTGTCAATGTGGATGTGAGTCCTGAGTTGTAAGTCCCTTCAGTTATAATATGCAGTTGTGACTCTAATTCAGTGATTCTTAATCCAGGTTTTGGGGATGTCTCGATGTGGTTCTGCACGTCTCTCTTATTTAACACACCTGATTGCCTGATTAACAGAGAGCTAGATGAGCTGAACTGAGTGAGTCAGAAAAAGGAGACATAAATGTGCAGATCGGGGTCCCCAGAACCAGGATTAAGAAGCACTAATAACTGAACTGTGTGTGAATGTAACTGTATTCAGCTTTCTAAAACACGTTTTAAAATCACTAATAACTGCACAATATCAGTCCTATAAAGCAGGGTTAACCAAACTGAGGTTTGTGAGATAACTACAGGGGGTTATGAGTTGATCAAAAGCTAATAATTAAATCATAAAAATATAAAAATAAAATAAATCATTTAAAAATAAAAACAAATGAAATGTTTAATTTGTTTATCTGCATGTCATGTGACCATTAGCAATAAAAACGTTGACAGCAAATCTGAATTCAACTTTAAAGAGCTCAAAGCATTTAAAGTGGCAGATGACAAAACTGCAGTGTAGAAATATAAACTGTACTGAGCTACAAATATTGTTTTAATGAGCATTAAACAGAATCTGAAGACTCACCTGAAACAGTCAGTGTAACAGCAGCACTGATGTCTGATCTCTGTGAGTCTGATCTCTCTCCTCTACAGCTGTATTCACCACTATTATCAGACACATCAGTTCTGAAACTGAACTCTGCTGTTCTTGTTGTTGTTCTGTATGTATCGTGAGGGTCTCCATCTTTAAACCAGCTGTATGTCCACTGAAAGTTTCCTCCTCTCTGTATGTCACATGTGAGAGTGACTGTCTCTCCTCTGAACACACGCTGATCTGGAGTCACCTTCACTACAGGTTTTGGTCTCGCTGTATTAATACACATATGAGTAAATATTGATGAAACAGCATCACAATATCATGATCACTGTTATTAACCTATAAGAAAAATACTGCACTGTTAAGACATTTCTGTAAGTTCTACATTTATTTACTGTATATTACCCAGTATAATACTGCAAATTCCCTTTACAGCAAATAACTGTGATTCCCTTTGCATCATTGGGATTTTCTGTGACGTCAAACACCACATACAGAGACGTACAGTATTTTTTGTTTTTATTATTGCTGTATACTACTGTATTTGCTGTAATTGCCTCTTTGGCGCCATTCCATTGAGGGTTTTAATTTTCTTCATTTCTTATATTTGGATTGTCAGGATTTGTCTTACAGAGTGTCTACAACGCCACAGAAACAGTGCGAGCGCTTGAAGTACTAGAAATATACCGGGGCATCAGTTTACTGTCCAGCATCAATTATAGATATTATCACTGATTTTAATGGGTTCTATATTGTCTTTTGTCACGTCGCACCGCGGGTTTTATCCGGGAATTGAACCCATGAGTGGAAGAGATCCGGGAAACATCTGCACTGTGAGTCGATGCACCTCATGAGAGAATAAGAAAGACCAGCAAGCAGGTAAACATGTATGTTTGTATGTCTGTGTGTTTTTTGTCAGTTTTTTTGCACACCAGTTTAACCTAGAAACATTTACTCGTCAACATGGCGGTAACATAAACTTTGTTGTTTCAATTAACAAACGACTTTGTCAGCTTATTGAATTACCAAATTAAAATTATTTTAACGAGCAACACTTATCTTATATTAACATTAAAACACACAAACAAAAAAAAAGGTAAATCTAAAATTCCATGAACAAAACTATAATGAACTAATGCAAAAACCAGAAAGGCGGCCATAAAAATTTGTTTAACCTAGCTAACATAGGATTTTATTTACTCAATAGGTTACTGGCCAACGTTAACTTACACCTGAACACAATTTCACATTAGTTAACTTAAAGGCAACTGCACTGAAGCATCAAGACAGACATGAGCTTATGCCAGCCACGCTGAGACTAATCATTCTAAAGAGAAGAACTTAATTATGATTTTGAGAGGTTTGTGTATTTCATATTGTTTTCATATGTCAGTTTACTGTAAATCTTAATTACAGTAACTTATTGGCAACAGTGTCAACCCCTTGAAATGTCTAACAGTGTGCATTACATTTAAGATTTGAATGACATAATAAATATTTGTTAAAATTGGTATAACATACAACATTGATATTCATATCCAGTCTAAATGCATGTTCTGTTGTATTCACATATCATACGATTGCAGACTGTACAATATTTCCATAATTTAAGAGTGTAAAAAGTGTGCTGAAATAAACGTGCAATGTAATGAGGTCATGTGACAGTTTGAGTCAGTATTGTTGTATAATGTGATTTGTTTCACGAAGAAATAGGCAGAATACAGTATATACTGAGCTGAATTTGGTAAGCAGTAAGAGTTTTCCATTCTGAACAAAACCACAGTTGCTCAATTGGACGTGATCATAGAGTGAGTTTAGGAGGTCAATGATATTCAACTCACCTGTCACAGAGAGATAAACAGAGCTTGATTGTGATGATTTTGGTCTCTCATCTCTCTGTCCTCTACACCAGTACAGATTCTGATCAGATGCAGTTACTCCTTTGATAGTGAGAGTGTCTCTGTTTACAGTGTAACGCTCAGACGTCTGTAACATTACACTGTCTGTGCCTTTATCCCACTCATATCTCCAGTTACTGTGAGACTCAATCACACACTTCAGATTGACTGTCTCTCCAGTGAATACAGGACTGTCTGGAGTCACAGTCAGTGTAGATCTGGGTAAATCTGTGAAGAAAGACAAAAACATAAACTGACTCAAACTGCTCTTTCAGGGAAATATATTTTGTAAATGTATTAATTCATTATGTTATGTCATATTTCATAATATTGGTTATGTTTTTTGTTTTATTTGTGTACTGTCATTAGTTTTCTCATTTCAGTTTTTTTGAGGAGGCTCTGAGGAGTCATGAAGGATCTCAGGATTCTCAATCCACATTATTTTTCTCGTAAGGGCACTCAGCCATTTGTAAGTTTAATGTGTCTGGCTTACGGTGTCGTTCGCTTCCATCTATTTTTAGCTACAAAACAGCTTGTGTTCCTGCTTGCAAACTGGTGTGTTCTACCATATTATTTTAACATATTATCTTAATTACGAACACACTTGTTTGTAGTGCAAACAGTTTTACCATTTACTGCACTTTGTTATTCTTCTGGTTATTTTCCTACAGCGGCTAATGAACCGGAAGTCTCGCACATTCACAGAAAACGGCTTACTTCCGCGTTGAAAAATAAGGTGGATAGCAACCTCTGTGTTTTGTATCAAGAGAGCGTCCATTATACATCTGTGTTATTATTTTGTTTGTTTTTTATTAATGTGTAATCATAATCATTGATAATTTCATTGTTCCATTTAATCAAATAATCAGTTATTCATTTTTATTATTCAGTATTTCACTTATTTCACACATGGAGATCCGTTCTAACAGACACATGCTCAGACAAACACCTAAATGTGGTGTTAGATCAGGAATGGACTTGAATAAGAGCCTCATGCAGAGAGCAATAGAGACACCAGAACAGAAATATTCATGATTCTGCTTAGTTAAAAATACAGAATTATATTAGACCCATATGATTTCACTCTGTCTCTCACTACATACATTTAAACTATTTTAATTACTGAATTGTATGATGTAATGAATTGCATTTTTTTAAATTAATTATCATTAATAAACAAGGAAGCTTGGATGTGTGACCTTCTGGATTCACCACATTTGATGAGCCATTACCATATTTCATGCTAAATTAAATCTGTCTAAACTTTCACTTTCATTGATCTACAGACGATACATACAGTAACTTTCTACAATACTTATTGTTGCATTTTTGCTTTGCTATATATTGTGACACAACATATTGTTGTACCCCTAGAAAGTCTCTCTGTAACAAAGTGGCTGGTGAGAAAGGTGGCCTATGTTTTGGAGCAGCACCTGGGTTTTGAAGATGCCTTATTGTGTATTCTTTTGCTGCTTATATTTTTTCCCAATTATTTTTCTGTTGCCTTAATATTCTTTGTGAGGATAAATCCAGAGAATACAACATAATGCACTGTAAAAAGTCATAAGACAGGAGAAATGGCTACATTTCAGCATCATTAAACTGTCTGTGTAAATGCATCTAAATGCCACATCAGCTGCTTCAGTTTCTTTCTGCAGTGGAAACATACATTTTGATGATATTGATTTAATTTGATTGGTAACAGCCCTATAGTGTCTTATTACAGTAACTGAAATTATTAATAAAATGTAAGAATTTGATATGAAAGATGATGCATACATTTAATAAGGTTAGGGGAAAATGACCTGGAAATTAATTTAAGTAATTTTTACTATGCAATAGTCAACTTGAATCATATAAAATGTAATTTCCCAACAAAATTGAAGTCAGTGAAAAAGCTTAGAGTTGTTAGTAATTTTGGAAAACCACTAGCCACAGTGGCTGCTGAGCAAAAGCATTAATATCAAGCCCTGCCTGTAATCATAGTGACAGAGACTAAAGTAAAAGTAAAGAGAGTGACTGTCTCTCCTCTGAACACACACTGATCTGATCTGGTGTAACATTCACTACAGGTTTTGCTCTCGATGTATTAATACACATATGAGTAAATATTGATTGAAACAGTATCATTACAGTATCATGATCACTGTTATGAACTCAAAATATCCTTATGAGAAAAATACTGCACTAAATTAAATATCTGGTTTGCTTGTAGTTGGTGTTGATTATTAAAAATATTTCCAATTATTGGTAACAACTAAATGAAACACTGATTTACGGTGGCCGAGAAGTGCTTATCCATCTGCGCCACTAGAGCTGATGTTTTCAGCTACTTTTAACTAAATGTGAATATACACTCCGTATTTTTTATTCCAGAGTAAGGGCAATTCATACAATACTTTTAAACTGAGCTACTTTAATACCATCTCCGAACTTTCTACCACGACTGCTGTTCTTCGGCTGGTTCTTTCTGTATAAGTTGATGATTGACAGATGTCTCGTCCAGTCAGCAGTGAGTAATCCCAAACCAATGGCGCTGTCTCAAACTATACCTACCTCTTCCGGTTTGTCTGATTTGTCGTTGTGTTTTCTGACTTGTTATTTTGTTTTCTAATTTGTCATTGTGTTTTCTGACTTGTTATAATGTTTTCTGAATTGTTGTTGTGCTTTCTGAATTGTTATTTTGTTTTTTAGACTTGCATTTGCATTTGTAATTTGTTATTTTGTTTTCAGAATTGTGATTTGTTTAGCACTTCTCAGCCACCGTACTGATTTGTATATTCAGTCAACATTTATGTTCTTTAATTCACATATTACACAATTTCACAGTGTACAACATTTACATAATTTAGGAGAATCATAAACTTTCAATAACATCAAATAGGATTATTTAGGAGGACAATGATATTAAACTCACCCGTCACTGAGAGATAAATATCAGAGCTTGATTGTGATGAGACTGATCTTCCATCTATGTGTCCTTTACAGCTGTACTGACCCTCATCAGATGATTTAGATTGTTTAATAGTGAGAGTGTTTCTGTTTCCAGTGTTACGCTCAGACAGTTTAGTGCTGTCTTTATACCACTCATATCTCCAGTCACTGTGATCAGGGTTTATCTCACACGTCAGATTGACTGTCTCTCCAGTGAATACAGGACTGTTTGGAGTCACAGTCAGTGAAGATGTGGGTAAATCTGTGAAGAAAGACAAAAAAACATGAAGTGACTGAAACAGCAGTTCAGAGGAAATAATTACTTTGCAAATGTGCTAAAAAACAATATAGTTTTTGTTGTTGTTGTTGTTGTTTCATAACCTTTGCGCTTTTCCTGGTCGAGTCGGAGTGAACTGTTGTGCTAATAGTCTCATGAACACTTAGTCGTGCACAGAGCCCAACAGCCAAGGTCAGGATATTCTTATAAAACGTTAAATTTCGATTTGTTTTCCACCAAACCCCTGAACACGTGGCGTATCCGAATACAGTGGCGCAAAACAGGGTGTTCGGTACATGCAGTGCATAGGGGCCGAAATCCTTCTGTAAAAAGCTTCTTTAATAAAACGTAATAAATAATCAAAAGCTTAGTTGTTAAAAATAATGTAATTAAACATTTTTATTTAACGGTTTTTAGCATTTTTAATGAGTTCAAAATGTATAATAAAGTGAGTAGGCTACATATCAACCCGTTACTGTCACTGACAGAGTCAGATGAATAGAGGAGAAAAAGCTCTGGGCGCAGAACAGAGAAGACAAGGAGAAAAGAACAATGCGTTAAAATAAGGACAGCAATATCCAAGTGAACTAACAGAAATGTAAGTTCTATAAAGTCATTCAACATTTAACGTTGTTGCTTATAAAAGGGCAAAGTGATTAACATTAATATCAGTTCATTTCTGAGTATCTCTATTGCTCAAAAAATACAAAAGTCACAATATGTTTGTGAATGGGTGTTTGATTTACATTTGAGAGGAACTGAGATTATTAACAAGGATACAAACAAGCCACCTTTCACCGAAAACTGCCATTTTTAATTCAAACTAGGCCATTTGTGTGATTCAAGTAGATCAAGTAGAGTTTTTTTTTTTTTTTTTTTAACTCTTGCTACTTCATACTTTGTATAAAACAATGCTGAACTTTGACAAAGAAGTGATTTTTAATTGTTATATTATATACGATTACGGAGTGGAAATAGTAAATGAGACAATGAATGATCCTCTGCTGCCATCTAGTGGTTATGAGTGGGAATATCATGACAGCCATTTCAATAGTATTTGTTTTTCTACCAGGTGACAGAAATCTTCCACTGAAGCATGGAACATTTTTTCTAGTTATCGCTATAAAGTCAAGTGACCATTAACCGATATTAGATTCGTTTTTTTTTAAAACGCTTGCTACTTCCTACTTCGTATAAAACAATGCTGAACTTTAACAAAGAAGTTATTTTTAAATGTGATATTATATACTATTACGGAGTGGAAATGGTAAATGAGACAATGAATGATCCTCTGCTGCCATCTAGTGGTTATAGTGGGAATATCATGACATTAATTTCAATAGTATTTGTATTTCTACCAGGTGACAGAAATCTTACACTGAGGCATGGCACGTTTTCCATGAATTATCTCTATAAGTAAAAATGGGGGGGATGCAGATGAAATTACCTAACTAAAAAGTGAGCAATATTACATGTGTTTGAAGAAAATTACTGTTAAAAAAAAAAATAAAATATTAGGGTCAGCCCTCAGGAGTTAAAGGGGATGATATACAACACACTTTTCTGTTTTCTGTTTTTATTTTTATTTTACTTTTCACCTTTTTTTCCTATGGTATTGAAGATGGGGGAGTGGGTTCGAACCTCTGTCACTTTTTTCACCCCTGATGAGTTTGTATATCCTTCCATACACAAGCTAGTTAATGGGCTTTTGGTCATTGACTTACAGAAAGTTGTCTGTGGGAGTTAGTGTCAGGGGCTAGAATACAGGGATCTTGCCTCAGTAAATGTGCAGTTGCGCCCCTGTCTGAATATAGTATGACACGCGCCGCATGGGAGCACTTCTGAGGTGTTTTCTCAGTTGTTTTCTCTCATCTCAGTTTTGTCATAATATGCTGCCACATTACTCCATTAAATTATCATATAAATATATATTCCAGGCTTATGAAATCCATACGAGCTGCCTTATGTGTTCATTGCCTGCCTGATCAGTAAAATGAGATCCAAGATTTGAGTGTGC